ATGCCGAGAGAGTTTATCTATTAATTCCTGTTCATCTAAATTTTCATTTATATCATATGGTAAATTTATTTTACGTATTGCATAATTATAACGTTACTCAATTATTCAAATTGTTTAAAACTTTGTACTATCAATCGATGGAAATAATACGAGAAGATTCTTTAGAAATTGAAAATTAAAATAAGAAGACTGCAATGAATTAGGAGAGTCTATCTGAAGAATTTAATTCTCAAGTAAGTGTTACAAACTCTTCATACTCATTATCTGCCTCGGAATTTGCACCAAAGAAAAAAAAAATTGAAGCCGATGGTTATGACTTTAGTCTTGAAGTAGAAACGTCCTTATAAAAGTAGTCAATTTTCCATGAAAACTACGAGGAAAATTATTGAATTAAAAGATGTAAAAAAATTGAAAGGACCTTTTCCTTAGGAAAAATTGAAAGGACCAACCTTATGGAAATTAGTTCCCTGTCAAATTAGCTGAAACTTCAGTATATTGTTTTTCTCGGTGTTTTGATCAAATGCTTTAATGGACACGAGATTCTAAAATCCATAGTTTCTGAGATACAACCCGTTAGAGTGTCGGTATATGGCTATCTTCTGTTTAACTAGGTAGGTGTGACGGAAAGATCTGTCACCGTCACCCATGCCACCTTACACATACCGTACTAGCCACTGCGTGTGTGCATGCCAGAATGCGCAGGGAATATGTAACCATCGGTGGATGCGAGTCGCTAGCCACAGACCCGAGGGTCGTGAGTGAGTGCGTAAACAGCACGCGAGCAACTATCGTAGGTACCCTACTCATAATCGCGAATCTTAGTTTATTGTTTACATTTTCTTAGCGTGGTCACCTCCATCTTGTACGGACTCATTAGTCTCATGGATGGATAATAGATGTTTTCTTAGATATTTTGCGTATTCTAAGCCCATCTCAGAATTTTTAACGATTTTCCGCAAAAGGGGCAATGATTGCTTTTTATAATTGATAAAGAAGATTCCCATTTGCTGAGTGGTTTCGTCTCCAACGGTCCTTCTCTGGGTATTTGGCAATTTTCTACATCACTTTCGGTGATTGCTTCTTCGAAAGTCCTTTTAGGGATAATTGAAGAGCAGTTATATTTGATGGTTGGTTGTGTTTCAAAAGTGTTGCTCAGGATAATTGGTCATTATTTACGTCGAGATCTACACTAGAGTCGTGTCATAAAGTAACGAATTTTGGAGCTATTGAGTTATTTCATCTTGACTTTTATCTATACTAGAACCGTCAGTAGAAAATGGGAAACAAAAACTTCTTGCACTGTTATATTTGTGATGGACGATTTCCTCCTAAAACAATGGCTCGCATCGATGGAGAAGATAATGCTCTTAAACTAGGCATAGCTATTCAGAGACGTGATGTGTTTAATAGGCCTCCCCTAGAAGTAACTAATCTGACACGAATATGTATAAACTACAACTATTCGGTTTATGAAGAAATACAAGCAATTGAAGAAGATCCAAGTCGCATACGATTGAATGTTCTAACACAAACTAGGAACTCTACGTACCTTGTATGCAATGTCGAAGGTGATCTTCATCTACTGGTAGGTGAGTGTAAAGCTGATGTTTTTATCTGCAAAAACGTATACATTCCTCAGAATTTTAAATCTTGAGGGTTCGAGACTCGCAGATCGCATCTACCGATGGTTTCATATTTCCCACACATTCCGGCATGCACACACACAGTAGCTAGTACGGTGTTTACAAGGTGACATGGGCGACGGCGATGGATTTTTCCGTCACACCTACCTAGTTAAACAGGAGATAGCCATATACCGACACTTTAACGGGTTGTATCTCAGAAACTATGGATTTTTGAATCTCGTGCTCATTAAAGCTTTGGATCAAAATATCAAGAAGAATAACATACTGAAGTTTCAGCTAATTTGAGAGAAAATAGGATAGAACGCGGTGCAAGTCAAAGGGACGAAGACCTGAAATAGTACTAAGTTTTTTTTATGTAGACTTTGCTCGAAATGTATTTTATATTCTTATTCTTTTATTTTAAATTGTTATTCTCTTATTTTATATTCCTATTCTCTTCTTAATTTTAATTCTACTAAAAAAATTGGAACAGAGTTTACTTGAAAAATTATGGCCCATTGTCAGAGTAGACGTCATAAATAACATAAAGCAAAAATAAATTAACAAAACTTACTAAAATAATATTTATGTTTTTTAAAAAGAGCAAGAAATAGAAGTACACATGCGTGTAGAAAATAATATATATAACATAGGACCATAAAATGAATAAAAAAAGTCCCCCCGACAAAATCATACCTAATAGTTTTTTTGGTCCGCTGATTCAGAATCTGGGGTCCTTGTAACTCTAGCACGTCGGGATCAAAGTCATTTGAAAGTCGAAATTGTTGATTACCGTAGAACCTTAAATCTAACCACGAATTCGAAAAGAGCGAGAAATTTTACGTTCAAATACATATTTCTGATTTTTTTTTTCACCTAATTCTCAAGGGTCATCTGGGAGTCAAACAAAAGACGCATAGGCTCGAATGTCTTTGGACTCATATTAACGAGAATCGGAAATATTTTATGCGTTTGAATCATATATTTTCATGTATTTTCTTTGTCCTGCATCTAATTTTAGGGTCTCTGTGACCCAAGCACATCGGTCGGGATAAAGACCGTTCGATAGTAGAAAGTTTCGTATCAGTATGTATTTGAATGGATTTGCATTACGAAATCTGAGCATTTTGCTCTCATTGAAAAAAAAGTTACGAGTAACGCATTTTTTCATTTGCAAAGAGATTTTCGTTTGTGTTCTGCAAAGAGATTTTCGTTTGTGTTGAGAAGTAGTATCTCTCTTGAGAGATCAACAGAATAGCCTGCCATCATATTTATATCCCAATAACCTTGATATCACTTCTACATATCTTTGATGTCTTGGTGAAATCTCTCTTCTTGCTCTTCGCTAAACTTCCTCAAGTTTTCAGGGAGTATTTAAGATGAGAATGGAGGAGAACTTCTCGAAAATATACGTAAAGGCGTTACTTCCATCTGGTGATTTTAACATTGCTTTAACTAACTGTTTAACCAGATCAAACGTAATGTGTAAGGGTGGGAGGATAACTTTATGCACAGGTATAATTTCGTATAAAATACTTTTATTACCTGGAGTAACATTTTGTCACAGTGGCCATTCTTTTTTTCACATAATGTTCGTCTCCTGCTCGGCTATCCCATTCACAAATAAAGCATGAATACTTTGTGACGCCACTTTGTTGACGTAACAAAATTGTTGTGATTTTGAAACCATCAATGTAGAGCTGCGGTCGTATAATGACGACGATTGCGGGCGTGCTTGTTCACCCTGATCAGCCACCGATACTGACCAACCGAAACCATGCATCGTAATTTGACGTATATCGATAATGACGGCATCATGCCTTCACTGTAGGGCTTTGCCAGATAAAAAAGCATAAAAAAAGCCGTTATCCGCCGTCACGACGTGGAGGTGCCATAGATGTCGACACGCAATATAAGTTGACAAATTGAAGAATCGAGGGACGAGCATGATATAAATTATATAGATGAGATGGGAGTACTTAAAGATGATAAAGAATATCAATATTCTTTCTAGTTCAATCAAGATGAACTTAGTGATTTAGTTCGAGACAAGTCTCTCGAAAGAACTTTCTGAGTTGTTAACATCACGATTGAAAGGAACAAATTGCCTGGCTCTTGGAACTCGCATAACATTTTACCGAAATAGAGATTAACAGTTTAGAAAATTTGTTTCAAAAGAAAACGATTTAGTTTATTGTAATGACGTTGAAGGATTGATAAATGAATTTGAGAATATAAAATATGAAGCTATTGACTGGCGTCTATTCATAGATTCTTCTGCAAGAAGCTTAAAAGCAGTCTTACCCCACAATGGTAAAGTAACAGAAAATACATGAAAATATATGATTCAAGTGCATAAAATATGTCAAATTCTCGTTTATATGAGTCCAAAGCCATCCTTTGTTTGACCTCCACATGACTCTCAAGAATTAGGTGGAAAAAAACCAGAAATACGTATTCAAATGTAAAATTTCCTGCTCTTTTCGAATCCATGGTCAAATTTGAGGTTGCATGGTAATCAACAATTTTGATCTTTAAATGACCTTGATCCCAGCGCGCCGAAAAAACTATTGGGTATGATTTTGGCGGGAGGGCTTTTTTTGTTTATTTTGTGGTTATTGGGTTATTGTATTATTCTGTAAAGTCATTAAACACGTATTACTTGGTAAAGTTCCTGACTGACGTTCTACTGAAAATTTTGTATTATTGTATTTCTTCTACCAACGTCATCCTTCCTTGTTAATATTTCAATATCTGTGATAACATACCCGTGGGATTTCTAGTCACATCTTATTATTCTTATCTGACATATTTAACTTTGGTTAATATATTTGACGATTTCTATTAGAAATAACATTAACAGCACATGAAGTGTTTTGTTCTAATGCGTGTTATTATTTTTACGTATATCATTTCACTGACGTGTAAAAACCAATTTCAAATTGTAATTATTTATTTAGTGTACAAGTTTGTTTTCCTTTAGCCTTAAAAATGGCTATATACAACATCACTGAAACATTTATATACTTTTTCAAATAAATTCGGATTAGAAAGTTCTAACATGAAAAACTATTTTGATTACCCGAAAAAATCCACTTAAGAATAGAAAATTTACTGGATGATTAGAATGCGCTGTTGCAGGCAGCTACGTCGCAGCACGCTCATACTTTTACTTAGGCCTTTATGCGTCTGCCCTTTGGTTTATAACGCTTGTGAGAAATGCAAATTACATGCGAATCAAGGTCTCAGATAACCTCATAGTAAAGGATATTTTTTTACTTGGAAATATGGCGGTAATGGGTGGAAATTAATTATTTCCTGCTCGTTACAATACATACATATATAAAATATAAAAAATTATAAAAAGCAAATTACCTTAGTATTACAAAAGTTGTTCAATAAAGTCGCACTTCAAGTGTTCTACCATCAAAACGAGATCGATTCATCATAGCTGTTAGAAACATTAAGAAAATGTATTCGAAAGATAATAATTAAAACTTATATTTTTATGTACCTTATTTTGGCAAAATAAGAGTAAACATAGGCTTACCAAATTATTTATTTTTGCATTTTAAAGGTTTTGTATTAAAACGAAAAATTTTAAATAAAAAAAATGAGAAAAATTTTTTTTTCACTTATATGATAAATTAGGTAATAAGACTGATCATCTCCATAATCATATAAAGTATTTGATTAATTCCAAATTATCAAATTATCAAACCAAACCTCTTATCATTTATTACTTATTTAAATATGTAAGGACCAATTATTATCTATGGTTAGTAATATGACTAATATTCATAACTTAAATCTGAATTTATTATTTATAGTTCGGAAGAAATGTGTGTCAATTTGGAATCGATAGTTAACCGGTCATATAAAATTGAAATACCGATGATTGACCGATAAACCATGCTGCATCTCGTTAATACTAAAGTGATAAAGTGTAGAGCCACGTATCAGTCGAACGAGAGATAGTGATTGTGGGTTTCTCAAATTTTAACGTGAAATCTCAGAAAATTGTTATGTCTATTATGATATTTATTTTTGAGTTTTGAGCATTAAAGTAAAGGATGTAAATTTAAGTTGTATATTTGTAAATTCCTTATCTTTTAAAAAGGGAAAGGGAACGGTCAGCATGAATTTAGAATATAGTTAATTAAATAGTTCATAAATCAATCAAGATATCATTAGTATAGGACACTAACCATGTCATTTTAAATTTATAATGGTGTTATTTGAGCCTTTTACGTACTCAAAGTTACCTTTGATAGAGAAAAAGGCCACACCGTTGTGATGTTCTTATCACTTATAATTTATTTAATAGTTCGTACTCTCGTGGTCTTGTCGCGTTAATGAGTAAGAATTCGTTTTTTTCAAATTTACTCTAATTATTAATATGAAATCAATCAAAAATTATGTATATAAGTATGTAAGTCAAATTTCAAGGAAAGTCAGACTTTGCCCTAGTTTCTTATGGTGCGAATTGTCCCATGAGCAGAGCTAAAGTCTTTCTTATGAAGGATATAATTTAGCCCAAATTCCTTATAGCGTGAAGTGTTCTATAAGTTGAGCGTGAATTATAATAGGAAAGGAGAGGATTTGCTCAGTTAATCACAATGAGAGAAAGCACTTAGGTATTAGCCAAGTTTATTCAATCTCATGCGATCACTTTGCAAAGCATGGAGTGAATGCCAGTCTGTGCAAAAATCAGCGTATTGATACATAGATTTTCCCGCCTATTTTGGCAGAAGAGTTCTCTTCGAATCTTCGAGAGTTATTCGAAATTTCTGAGAAATGATTTTTCTAAATTTACAAGTAAATAAAAATTAATACAAAAGTTTGAAAACATGTAAACTTTACAAAATAAGTTATTGATCGTTTTAGTATGATTTCGTATGATTTAGTATGATCATAAATAGTATCGTCAAAAGTTATTAACTAATAAAGTTAATTAATGTAATATTACAATATTAACAATAAAACAATACTTAAATTTTACATAATTTTATAGTTTATCAATTTTAGAAGTAATTTCTAAAAAGAAATACTCAAATTAGTTAATAACATTTGAATTATAATGAATTTTCCTATTAGTAACGGTTTTTTCTATAATCTTATAATGTAATTACTAGATTAATTAATTAAGATTTATAAATTAAAAAGCTATCATTATTATGTACAAAATTAACGTTTTCTTTATATATACAACTTAATGTTTAAATAAATTATTATTTATTTATTTATTTATTAGCAGTTATAATTAAACTATTATTAATGAAACCAATTCTTACTCATGTTTTTAAGATATTCATTATGATTTTGGAGTATTCGCATTTTTCTAATAATTAATATTTATAATGTAATAAACAAATTAACTTTGCATATTAAAATTCAATATTATTTAATAATTAAACGCAATTAAAATTATTATAATCTAAATGTATGTACTAAAATCTATATAAAAAATGCTTTGTTTCATCAAAATTACTTTTAATTAACATATTTTATTCAAATAACAAAAACTATTGTCTATATTTATAAGTCTGTGACGTCACGCTCCTTATATGATCATGAAATGAGACTCTTAACTAAGACAATTAAATAATAGGTGAGGCGGCGCCGTTTAATATACTAATTGATGTAAACAGTTTGATGAGTTTAACGGGTTGCTTTGATTCAGTGAAATAAGAGACTAGAGCTCATAGATAGAACCGTTACACCGTCTGGGTGAAGCTCTGAAAGTTGATCAAGGTAATGCGCCTCAACCAACTGTTAAAAAGCCCGCAGATCTTACCAAATCAATATAGAAACATCAAAAGTACTCCTGATCCTGATTTTGCTTTGTTGCATTGACTCAGACTTAACCCTTTCGTGCACATAATAGTTACAGCTATGGTGTGGGGAAACTGTTTATATTTCATAGGGTTCCGAGTCGTGCTAAATCCGAATCCGAGGTCCGATTTTAAAAATTCAAGATGGCGGATCCAATATGGTGGACGGAAATGTCAAAATAGTACATTACGATATAAGTGCGGAAAAGTAGATTCTTGTCTCGTGTGGCGTTTACACCCAAGCGAAGCGAAGGTGGAAAGGTACACGAGACTAGAAACTCTTTTTCGAACATGTGCCGTACTGTATTTTTTGATACGACGTGTGGAAAACGCGATTTTCAACGCACGCTTTTTGCCGAGCGTGCGGGAAAAGCGCACTTTCCGCACGGAGTGTCGAAAAGTCGATATTTTGAAACACAAAAAATTATTTCGTACTCTACGTGAAAACAAAAATAGAAACTGTTCTTGGTGTTTTTTCAATACCTCTCTTAGTTCTTGAGTAAAAACTTCATAAACTTTGAAAATAAGGCAGACCTATTTGCCGTCTATTCCGTTCGTGCATATAAGCGTTGCAGCCACATGAGTAGGAAACTGATTATTTTCTACAGGATCCCTAACCGCGCTGAATCTGAATCCAAGGTCAAATTTTGAAAATTCAAGATGGCGGATCCAATATGACGAACAGGAAAGTAAAAGAATCGAGATTTTGAGGAACGAATAATTAATTATACTGTACTCTATGTCGAGAAAACGGAGACAGAAATACATTTCTATATGAGATTTTTCGAAAATTATATAAGATAGGAATTCTTATATCACTGGTCAGGCTGAGGATCAATTGAATTATCAGCTGCATAGCCTTAACTCTATTAATTTAAGTGATAATTTCACTTAGTACACTTAACACCACGTGAAGGTTAGAGTTTGAACTTTGATGACTTCTTTTTTTTCTGCACTTTTGGAAATTTTTATATTTTTTTTTGTTTTTAATTTGATTTTTTTGATAATTTTTAGATTTACTTCCCCTTCGTTTTTGTAATTATCGTTAAAAAAAGATTCAGAAATTGTAGTCAGTATGCTCAAAATAATCCCTGAATCTTGTTCTGCCGTTGTAATCACCAATCAGTCGTTGCGCTAACTGTATTCTACATGCTAATTGATCTTCATACTCACCTTCCTTATAACATTTGTATAGAATATAAGAATTGTCTATAGCTAGATCTATATAATAATATATTGTTGAATCCCACCATTTTTTAGATCTTCTTTCTATCATATATACTTCCCTCAATTAATGAAATCTATCTACACCACCCATTATTTTGTTATAAAACTAGATCGTAATTGGACAAAATATAGGAAGCCGAGATCCATCTTTCAGTTTCCGAGTGATCTCGACAGTTTCCGTAGGATTCAAAGTTGACGTCAACATTAAGACTGGTTTCCTGTCCATCCATTTGATCACAGAAATACCTTTTTTGATTTTATAATTGAAACCTCCTCTTTTCATTTTCTCCTTTGTTTTCATCATTTCTGGCAAACCTTTCCTGTTGTTTCGAACTGTTCCTACTGAATAGATGCCTTTATCAAGAAGTTCTTCAACCAAGTTGACGGAAGTGAAAAAGTTATCGAAAGCTACCAAATATTCAACCCAACCCTCAGAATATTTGATACTAAGTTAGAACTATACGTTCTCCAAGTGGATTTTTCGAGCCATCTCTTGCTTTTCCAGTATAGACCTCAGATTCGAACACGTAACCTGTAGATAAGTCAGCCAAACATCAAACTTGAACCCTTGTTTTATTGGCTTCATTGACACACACACATATACATGTACTGAATAAAAGAGGACCGTCCCGAGAAGTAGATCATTGACTCATCTACAGAAACGGTCTTTGAGGTGTTATAACTCTTATTACTTGTTTGGTTGATATGGTCGCTGAAAGGTCTGATTTTGTGGAGCTTGTCGTAGTTTGGGTCAGTTCTTGGGAGCATAGAATCATTATCATTACAATGTATAATTTCCGTCAGCTTAGAAAATCGAGTATAAGGCATAATATTTGCAAAACAATCAACTTTGAGAAATGGATCTGACCTCCAATAATTTCTTACTCTATCATATCATTCTCTTTTTTTATTTTATTCAAAATGTTCTGCACAATTTTGAAGAATGCTTAAGATTGTTGTTTTTTTGAAAATGAAACCCATGACCAATTAACCTGAATCCAGATGGAATACCGTGCCGCTGCAAAGTGCTATGATACATTTTCTTATCCATAATACCATGTTTTATTGTCGCTAGTAAACACTGTTTTGAGAATCGTTTTCCAGGTCTACGCTGTACCTCTTGTTTTCGTTTACTACCATACAATTCAAACTAGGACTCATAAGTCTACAAAATTTTTTTCCATTTTTCAATTGATCATTTCACATGTTTTATTGACCATGCAAGTCGTTTGTTCTGATTAATACGTTGAAGAAAAGGCTTCTCGACAGCAATACGACCATTTAAATTTGCTTCACGCGAACGACGTTTCACTGTTGTTACATTTACAATTGGTTTTTCTCTTGAGGGATTGATATTTGCTGATATTTCAGGAGCTGTTAGCCTTCGATT